ACGGAGGAACGGGAGCACAAAGCGGCGCGTTTACTGCCGACAAGCGGTACGTATTACGACATCGGCTGAAAGTCAGGGTACGGTTTGGAGTAGGCGAGGTACGGTCCGGAATATTAGATAGTTACCAGGGTACGTTCTGGTATACCGGACCGTACCCAGGGTACGTTCCGGCAGTACCCTGGGGGACATAGACCTTATCAGCGTGACTCAGTATGCTGTTTGTTGTAAACGTGTTTGTTCTTGAACCCGCTTCCTCTGTTTGACTGGAGTCGGCGGTGATATCATCACCATTCAGCCACCGGTAGACGCTAGCTGCTGGATTACTGCTGTCCGATACACAAGCGAACTGTAGCGTTCTATCCGGTGATGAAGAGCTGTCTATAAGAGACATGGCAACCGACTGTGGTGACACTAGCACTGTTATATGACCCTTATTAGATAAAGGTCTGTCATCAGGTGCTACCTCGTTCTAATTCCATTGGCAGTGAAACTCTGCGTCATCTTTATCCACGTTTAAGTTAGAAAGTTTAATGCTGAAGTCACCCGTATCGTACTTGTTGTCGTCGATGTAAGAGTACCTAGCTGTCTTCCTTCGTGGTCAATATGTCAAAGCTGGCGGAGCGAGATCGAGACGAACTCTAATGTTTGTCATATTCTATCTAATCTTCAGCATTATCTTCGGTTTATGCAGCATTATATTCGGATTATGTAATCAGCAGCACTATCGATTTGTTCCGATTTGGGTCCAATGTCTATTAGTCACAGACTGACATTGGTACAGTGAAGCTCTAGTGGAACTCCGTCTCATCGTCTTCTGTTACAGCATGACCAGGCGTCGATGCGTGTGTTCATGTTTCCTAGATTAGAATTCGATCGACATGATATAAGTGACGACCGGCCTGGTTCTGTTCAGGGCTTATCAAATGTCTTCTAACAGTCTCATCCTCATGTAAAAAATAACCAAGGCAAGTAGTTCGTAACATGCCCTAAACAGGAGTTGCTTTCCATGGTAGGTTTCCAGCGGCGCGAAAACCACTACAAACCATTTAAGCGAAGAAAACGTACATGCCTCGCGATAAAAATGGCGGCGCGAGCTATGCATGGGCATTCTAAGGTTTGTCATATTCTATTTCATATTCAGCATTATCTTTGGACGGTTGCGATTTGAGTCCAATATGTCTATTAGTCATAGACTATCCCGCCATTCTCTAACTGCGCATGTCAGAAATCGAGTAATAGTGTGTATGGAAATTTTCGAGCGCTAATACCTTGCCCTCTCTAGAACCCGAGCGACATATATAACCACCATTACACTTGGCTACGAATGAACGCATTCGTACTAATCAGTAACGTTCAATATTAAGGTGTAGATAACATTTTGTGGCCTATAGCCTCTATTCATACCCTCGCCACTATTTATTTGTCTAGACCCGAGAACGCACAGTATATGTCTAGGTCTGTGTGGGTTTGTGTGCTAACTATGAGCTACTCGTTCTACGTTAACTGGAAAACTATTTTGTATATGTTAGTCTGTGTCCTTCATACGTTCATATTTTATAATAATGACGTTTGTAGAAACTGGTGTCTCTGCGTTGTATTTTGAACCTGTATACACGTGTAGCGTTCTAGTATACCTATATGTTGCGCCACACCGCAAACACGTAGCCGCTTTCTATGTAATGATTGTAAAACACAATTAAGTTCACTAGGGTAACATAACCAAGTTTTTAACATTGTTTAAGAAGCCTCTGCTGGCGGTAAAACTCTATATCATCGTCGTCTATTTGTACTATCATATCATGCAGAATTCGCCTGTAGCGTGGCTGTTATCATCAATGTGTGGGTATGTGTCGGTGGCACTGCTAGCAAAATTTGAAACATTACGAAACCACTGTGTAGATATTTCTCCTAGTTCGCTAGCATTATAACCAATGTCTGGTTCACAGTACATGGTAACGTTGACGTTCCACGTGGTTGCTGCAGAAACTGCACCGTCATCGCCGGCTACGGGGCACCATGCAGGACAGGCATTTTTGTACCTATAAACTTGACAAAAATGAGTTTTGTGAACACAAAACTCAATTCTGTCAATCCTGTCCCACAAAACTCAATTTTGTGAACACAAAACTCAATTCTGTCAATCCTGTCCCACAAAACTTCAATTCTTGTAAAACACTAAAACTCATTCCTGTGGATACGCGGTTTCGCAGACAAAACGTCATTTGTAAACGACAAAACTCAATTTCTTCCGAACCGGTTCCAACAAAACTCAATTGTAAACACAAAACCATTCTTCGAACCGTCCAACAAACATCATTTTGTTGCGCCCAAATAATGGCAACACGCAATGAAAATGGCACCATCTCGTCAGCCAAGAAAACCAATCGAAGCCCTTCTTACATGCGTGTGCCATATTGGCAACAAAATCGAGTTTTGTGGAATACGTTCGGACAGAATGAGTTTGTGTTTACAAAAAGTGAGTTTGTGGTACAGATTGACAGAATTAGTTTGTGTTCACAAATTGAGTTTTGTGACCTACGGGGCGCCATAACGGGGCGTCCCATGCAGGTACAGCGGCTCAGATTCTGTCGAATCCGGTTCCACAAACTCGATTTGTTGCCGCAAATACGGCACACGCATGTTAAGAAGGGCTACCATTGTCAGAAAGAAACCAATGTAGCCGCTCTTCATGCTTGTGCCAATATGGCAAACAAATCGAGTTTGTGGAACCGGTCGCCAACATTGAAGTTTGTGAAGCCGGTTCGACAGAATGTATTTTTGTGTTTACAAAATTGAGTTTTGTGAACACCGGTTCGACAGCAATTGAGTTTTGTGTGAACCAGATTGCACAGAATGAGTTTGTGTTCACAAAATATGTTGTGACCCCCGGATTGACAGAATGAGTTGTGTTTACAAAATTGAGTTTTCTGGTACATCGGATATACAGAATTGAGTTTTTGTGTTCACAAAAATTAGTTTTGAAGCCAGAATGAGGTTTAGTTAGATAAAAATTGAGCGCCTGTCCCTGCAGTGCCCCCGCTACGCTGGCAGCGCAAGCCGTATCAAAAGTTCGTACACGTACAAACGCCATGTAAGCTCACATCTGTCATTTTCTACTCATAGAAGAGCAGGTCATATTACGCATCAATACTGTACTGCCAGTGTGGCTATTTTCAATGTATTATTGGCCAAACGGGGCCATTTCCTGTGAATATACTCAAACCTAAATTAATTGAATTTGATAAGCAGCTAGAACAGAATATACAAAAACGTCTACTGCGGCTGACTGACCACGTCAAACTTGCGTCGAAGCTATTAATCAAGAGCTAATAAATATCTATCTGCTCTGTATTAAATCTATCCTTCAATATTTTGATTATTTTTTGTCCATTTGCTATGTTGCAACTCCAGAAAGGAAAGTGCATGATCATGATTCAGAGTAATATATATATATTTATACTATATCATATACTAATCATACTATATTAGTTATGTATAATGAAACGAAATTGAAGACTCCACTATAAAATATAAAGCCAATAAGTAATGTATACCATTCAAAATAATAAAACTTTCATATCAAACAGTTATACTATATATATTTATATATAACTATATATAATATTAGTATATTGGGATGAGTGCATGTTGATATATTGCGATCTGCAAACGCGAGCAGCCGTTTACGACAACTTATAAGGTAAAATATACGGAGATTGTTCTGGCAATGCCGATGTGTCTAAGTCATATCACACTGAGTTGAATTTCTAGGTTCGACCAGATCTCGTACGTCTATCATCTGTTTATAATGTAATCGCTGCGATACAAGCAATTTGTGATTCGATAAGATACACGACGCAGAATAGCTGCAATATATCAGCATATGCATATCTCTCTATCTCGCTCCTTCTCGATCTTCTCGCCGCACTCGACTTTCAGTTCGCTCGAGACGAATTCTCTCTCCGTTCCTATTTGTCTGTCACCTTCTGTCGTGCGTCGTCTTGCGCTCCTTCGTAGTTGCCCTTGTGCGCAGACGGAGTTCCGCACACAACACTCCACGACCACAACACACACGCACACCGACGTAGACGAATCATTTATAATTCACCGGGACGTGTTTGTTTGCGGTTGAGAATTTAACATCGAACACGTAATCCGACCGGCTTGTACATCATCTTCCCCTTTTTATCCATCAGGACAGATCTCCCCATTACGTAACAACTATATAGTATATATACTATATATAGATATATATATATTATATATTATAGTGTGTTAGTGTGTGTGTGTGTTGTTGTGTGTTGTGCGTGCGTGCGTGCCGTGTGTGTGTGTGTGTGTGTGTGTGTGTTGTGTGTGTCGTGTCGTGTGTGTGTGCTGTGTTGTGTGTGTGTGTGTGTGCATCTCCCTACCTATATCAACATATCTAGGCATATCTAATTCTATCTATCTATCTAACTATCTATCTCATCTATCTATCTATCTATCTAGTCTATCTATCATCTATCAATCTATCTATCCGTGTATTATCTCTTCCTTATAATATATCTATATTATATTACATGTATATATATATATAGTATTATATATATATATATATTTGATATATTGATATAATATTTATGCATTTGACGAGGCCACATGGCGGCCCGCGTAACCTTCTAGCTAGTAGAATGACGGCGCTGTGTCGCACGACTTATCAAGTAAACATCGGCATCATATTTGGCAGCCGTACAAATACCGGCCGAACACAGTGATGTCGTCAAACCTCTAAAAAAATGGTCGTCGTCGATCAAACTAGGTCGTTTCTAATCACTCAGTCAATCTGACGTGAATTTACGCTAAACACAGTGCTGCCTTGTTCCGTCCGTTTCCGTCCCGCACCCTTTTCTCGCATCCACTCTACGGAGCGCTATGGGACGAATTACATGACACCCACGCTGAAAAACAAAGATGGTAATAAACTAGCGAATGGGGAACGACGTCGTGATGTGCTGGGTAAATCAGTCAGGGTCACCAAGTTTAACACTGCCTGACGAGAGCACGAAGAGTGTTTCAGATGCGCGGTCAATGCGACAGCGCGCAGGTATATATGTAGGGTGAGTCGAAGGAGAGGAGTCACATCGTGTTCAACAGGCTCCTTCGGTACACACACGCACACACCCAAAGCAGAACCAGCAAGGTAAGCCGATATGCCGTCGTTGTTGTCAGAAACAGGTAACTGTGTTCAGTTGGCTACTGTTAGATATAGAGCTGTATGATAAACTTCTATGGGCCTGTCTGGTCTCCCTACACCTAAGTGTGTGTAGATGTTGTCATAACTAGTCTATGTGCTATTGTTCTTATGCATAAGGTCTACTCTTTATATCCGTGGTACATGTTACAGTGTGCTATAAATCTAGTGGTAGATATCAGATGGAGAGTAGCAAAACGACATAGCAGTATATGTGCGCGCTTGTTTGCGCTACGTACAGATTTTACACGCACCATATTACATATTATACATTAATATATGTTTCTTTATAGTTGCTATATATATATATTGTAGTATAATTGCGTCTAGTTATTTACATGTAAAAAAATCCAGGCATTAAATAGATGCTTGTCAGCATACTAGCATACTGAATGAAATTACGTCATCCGTCGAAGTCCATGTTAGTTAATAACCGTATTCCGAAGAACAGCAATACGATTCAGTATGATGAAGTATCGAGGATGTTGCTCATGCCCGACACATTGCATTGAGGGTTGTCCACGTTGGCTTACTGGATTTTGTATCTTTGCGTAGAAAATCTTGTGAAAATCTCAAAAGAAAAATGAATAAGACTACAGCCGCTCTTCTCGTCATCGTCGTGCTAGCCGTGAGTATAATCTAACGCGTAAATATTCCCCTCCCCATTCTCTCTCCCTCCCTCTTTCTCTCTCCTTTCGCTATCTCATCCTCCTCTTCTTTGGCTCTCTCATTTTCTTTGTCTCTGTCGCTCTCTCTCTCTCTCTCTCTCTCGCCCCTGATGTTTCTTTCTCACTCTCGTCGTTTTTTTCTCTTGCACCCAGTTTTCCTCTCATTTGATCCTCTCTCGATTCCTCTCTCTGTCTTTCTCTCTCTCTCTCTCTCTCTCTCTCTCTCTCGCACTCGCTCTCCTTCTGTATACTATGTGTGTGTGTGTGTTTCCTTCCCCCTCTTTCTCTCGCTCTTTTTGTTACTCGATTCCTCTCCATCGCCGTTGCTTTATTTTTTCATTTGCTGTAGCTCACACGCAAGCTATACATAAATATGCTGCTTAAAACCCATAGCAAAAATGTTTCCATATATTCAGTAGTGATTAAAACTTTCGAACGCAATAATCATCTGCCTTCACCTACAACTTTATTATGCTATATTTTACATTGTATTGCATTATATTACACAGTTTGCATTTATATCTTATATGCATAATATTATGCAGGTCATCGGCATGGCAGCTGCAGGTTACGGTGGTGGATACGGACGCGGTGGATACGGCGGCGGATACGGTGGATACGGACGCGGTGGATACGGAGGCGGATATGGCGGAAACAGAGGCGGATACGGAGGCGGATATGGAGGATACGGAGGCGGATACGGAGGCGGATATGGAGGATACGGAGGCGGATACGGAGGCTATCGCGGCTAACGCGGCGCACGAAGATACCGACTTGCTGTTAGTGTATAGGCTCCTGAACGCTGAGCGCGTTAATAGACCGTAGTATAGAGATCTATGTACATACATAGAATCGTGATGGAGATACATGCTTCCAACTCAACCCCAATACGGCGATGCAATGTCGTTCATAAATGCGCAAATTGATGAGCATTTCAATAAATCGGAAATTTATAGGCATATAGATGTATTTCGGTAAATGAATTGAGTGTATTCCTGATTTGTACTTATTTGCATGTCTATTACGAAGATGCTTTGTCCAGTTTTGATGTACTGTAAAACACAAAATATTTCTGTTTAAATAAAAACGCTTTCTTCTAAGAATAATTTGCTTGTTTGCAAATGTTTTCAACTTTAGATGGGTGATGGACAAATGTCCGAAATGGCAACATGCAAAATCACTGTCACCTAAACCCCATACCACAAAGCTCACGAAAAATATATATGCGTATAAAATAATAATCGTTACCAGAGCCCTGACCATACGTTCTCATGGGAAAAATAACATAGGCAGCGTCGTCGTCGCTTCCTCTCATCCAACTAGCGCCATCTACTGGCGTGGCACGCTAAATGTAAGATTCTTTAGGTAGGATATCAAGGTAGGTGTCGCTCTCACCAAATGTAAGAGTGTTAAAGCTACTCTCATCTGAAGTGTTTCGTGACTGTGCGCCATAACAATACGTGTCGCTTTTGGGAATCCAGCGACTGGGTGAATGCGTAGAGTTCAAATCGTTGCCAGAGCCCTGACCATAACCTAACGTTCTCATAGGAGGAATAACATAGGCAGCGTCGTCGTCGCTTCCTCTCATCCAACCAGCGCCACCTACTGGCGAAGCGCGCTGACTGTAAGAGTCTTCAGGTAAGATGTCAGAGTAAGTGTAGCTCTCCCCGAGACTGGGCTCGTAATGCGGTCGTAGGTAGGTTGTGTGAGGTTGGGTGTAGCTTCTTTCCCCCTGTCCCGACTCATACTGCTCCGGTACACTGTGGGATATGCCCGTTGTCAAAACATTTATTCCAGCGTTATCGCGGTAATTTCTTGTGCTCTTCGTCAAAGAAGTAGAAGACTCTGAGTCACGCTTTCTCTTCGCACAGACGCCGACGATGACGATGATTAAGATGATCAAACCTAAAGCAGCGATGACCAGTCTGACAATGAGGGCCGTATTCGATGTATTTGGTTGGGGAGCAACGACGACTACAGACATTGAATTAGCAGAGTTCACAACTCCTACAATGTTAGCGGCTGAGCATGCGTAGTCACCAGCATCTACGAAACTAACCTGTGCCCTTTCGTAAACGCGGTTCACTTCTGCAGGAAGTAATGATTTGTTGTGAAGCCATGAATAACTTGGCTCTGGGTTTCCGTCTGCGTCACACAGCAGACAAAGCGCACTGCCGTTCTTGGCAGTCATAACGCCTGTCTGACTGTCACCGCTTACTCTGACCTGCCCCATGTACTGTACATTGAGCCGAACATCATCTGACAGTGACTGAAATGATTGGACAACAACGATGATGGATGTCAACATGACAGGCAAGTATTTTGTCGTGATTATCGGCGGTAAGCGTACGCGTCAGTGTGCTGTACGTCGTTATAGTTCCATCGACTTGACTGACATGTGAAGTATTAGCTCCCTCTACAGATGTATCACCAAGTTTCCATGTTACTGTTCCTCCCGGAAAGCTTTTGTCTGTAGTGCAGCTAGCTTCATGCGGTCCTACATGTATTATTTCTGTGTCTGCTACAGCATTGCCGTCTATTTTCATGGTGACGTACGTTGCTGGCACGACCACGGTCACATTCATCTTGTTGCTGGACATGTATTCCCCAAACACACTAGTTGCTAAACACGCATACAATCCTCTGTGTTTAAACTTGACTAATTCAATCACCAGCTCGTCGCCTGCAGCTTGTATCTCCTGCATGGTCATTGTGCAACCATGTGTAAGATGGTTCTGGATAGCCGTCAGCATTACAGCGTAGAACCAGCTTCTCTGCCTCGATAATAATGCCGTCATCCTCACTGGAGTTGTTGTCGCTGCTGATGGTCACGGTGTCTGCCATGTACAAAATCTCGGTTGACACTTCTTCGAGTAAACGTTGGTGAATGAAGATGTGACAACAAAGTTCTTTGTCAATATCTTCCGTTGAAAACCTGTGACTCAGGATACTTTTTGTTGTAAATGTCTTGTTTTTTGAACCCGCTTCCTCTGTTTGACTGGAGTCGGCAGTGATATCTTTACCATTCAGCCACCAAGTGACGCTAGCTGCTGGTTTACTGCTGTCCGATACACAAGAGAACTGTCCTGTTCCATCCGGTGATGAAGAGCTGTCCATAAGAAACGTGACAACCGACTGTGGTGACACAAGCACAGTTAGATAACCCTTGTCAGATGAAGGGCCGCTACCCGGCGCGACCTCGACTTGCTGCCATACACAATAGAACTCTGCTTCATCTTTCTTGACTCTCAAGTTAGATATTAGCAAGCTAAAGTTTCCTGTATCGTACTTGTTGGCGTCAATGTAGAAATATCTTTCTTCATTAGTAGGACTTACCTAGTCACCGTCACGATACCAATAAACGGAAACGGGAAAATCTTCCCAGGAATTGAAACTAAGGTCAATCGTGCAGTGCACCGTAACATTGGTACCTTCAATTGCCTCCGTGTCACAGGGTTGCTGCAGGAACTGTGTTCTCACCGCCACTAAGGCTGCGCACAATATATACACCGCAACCAGCTTGACTGCTGCCATTGGTAATCCTGCCCGCGTGATTAAATAACTGACGCCCACGTGTTTATTCGTTAACGAGCTGCTGCATCCGATCTTACATGCCCAAATCCATATCAACTAACCGAAAATAATTGACTTCAACATTTTCGGTTGAAGGTTTGCAACGATCGATTTATATGACATGGCTTCAATGACGACGTTGTGTATGTACGCAACAGCAACGGATAGTCACATAAAGACAAGACAAAAACGGCTCCAAAGAACACATTCGATGAGCGCTGATTGGTTGGTGTCACATACGTGCACGCGGACGTATTAAAATGTTTGCTATATATTATGTAACGTGATATCTAGCGTACAATCTGTGAACTAGTATAAGATAGCCGAGTGTAATGTTTGATTAGTTATCTATTACTATGTTTCTCGCTGCGATTTATAAACGACATTAATATTGCGCTAAATATCCTAGCGATGACATAATGTTAAAATCTCCATCAACAGCATTCTAACATAATAATTATGCTATAGTCGGCTTAATTGCGTAGACGCGTTTCCACGGCTACTCAATTCGTCAGCCGCACGTGGTAGTTCTCGCTGATTATAACGCCTGTAAAGATAATTACTAGACCTCAAAGCAACACCAATAACCAGGAATCAATATCAGTGAATGAGTCCTCAACCGTGAAGCGGTCACTGTATTGGAATTTCCAACCAGCATTACATTTTTTTTTCTAAATTTATTTCTCGTTATAGGCTGCATGGGATATTGCCGTCAGCAGCATTAAATGCGTTTCTGCCCAGGACGCCACCCTAACCCCACTACTGGAGCTTTGTTCAGTAGGCGTGCTGTCCCTTTGCTGGTACGTCATGCCTGACCCCCGCCAGCTCCTTCCAGTCGGTATGCCTGAACGCAGTATCCGCGTAGAGAGTTACGACAACATATAAATATTCATTCAATGTTTGCTGGTTTAATTTTACAGAGGATAATTGTTTATGCAGATTTGCTTATTTAGATGTGTAAAACAAAGACTTCACTATGGTTGGCCATCATACTCATAAATTGTTCTTTTTACCGTGGTAAAATTATATCCCGTTAACCAATCATGTGCCTTGTTACACATAATTAAACGCGGTAAAATATATGAATTTTACCCAATCAAAGGCCTTGTTACACATAATTCTATAAAACCGCGGATGAATTATTTTTACGGGGTTAACTTATTACTTTTTACCCAACCATTAGCCGTGTTACGTATCATGCCCTCGCAGATTATAGCCCATTTCGGTTATTTACAACTTCTCTGTCATGCCTTGAAAATTTCATTTGATGTTAAACAACGCGCTGTATTTATAATCAGCTGTTGATACGATATAGTCATATGTAAGACGGCTTTTCGTTGGGGAAAAGTCATAATTTAACTGCGGTAAAAATAATTTATTCGCGGTTAAATTATGTGTAACAAGGCATCACATAAAATCTCATGCATATATACACATCCGTTCAGCCATATCTATATGCGTGTTATATTTATGTCTATATTGTAACGCAGTGACGTCATGTCACATGCGGTCAAATACGTGTACATGCGAATATGTGTGTATATAGCTGTAACATAGTTAACAAATTATAATAAACCGGCCAAGCTGGGGAGTATAAACAAGAGAACCAGATGAGACGGGATACTAGAGAAGCGTTGCCGAAAGGAGGTGTTGATCCGAAGCGCTGAGTGCACATCTTGCACGCAGTTCCGCGGCAAGGCGCACGCGACCGCAGGAACGTCCTACGACAGTATGCAGCGCTGGCAGCTATGGATCCGTTCGCCGAATGTATATGCCGGCGCACGGATCCATAGCTGCCAGCAAACAGCCGAGAATTTTACCGGGAATACAATGAAAGAGCTCAGCTGCATTGAGCTGCTGTTATTTGCAAGTTCAATGAAAATATCAATTAAAGTGTCAACACCTTCTACTTCGACACTGTGTTGTATAAGTTTTATTATTAATTGTGTTTTACTATGCGTCAGCGGCTTCATGTAACGAGCGGCAGCTGCAGCGGATACATAAGCTGGGTTTTATAAATAATACGCCTCTATTCATGTAAATAGAAATGTTGACCTATATACAAACAATGAGCAGGTAATAATCACAAATATTGTCAATAGCTCCTGATATTATCTGTGAATTTTGCGTGTTAGATGACATACTTATGTTACGCCATGACTTCTGGCCAGGCTAAAACATAATTTTGTGACTTCTGAAAAATTGTTCCTAATGAACATTTTAAAGACACTGACGCACGCACTCAGTGACGCAGACACACATACAAACACTTACATGCACCCATACAAATGTCTGTGCCGGCCTGCGTGCATACGTACGTGCGTCGGTGTGTGATTGCGTGCTTTCATACATGTATACGTACGCACGTAGCATAGAGGGTTCCGCGATTTTTCATATTACCCACAATGCAACGCCGCCGGCCCTGACGGATACAGAAACCAGTTCAGGCATGGTACAAGTACATTGAGCAGCGCACCTCTGCTCATTTTATATTCGCCTATTAAGCAAATGCATCACAACGCCGCTCTCCTGC